TCCCAAAACAATAAGATCGAAATCATAGAATCAGTTGAGGATTTGTTTTTACAGTCACTACATACATTTGGTTCTGATGTGTAAATTTCAACAATTTATATTGGCAAAATCATGGCACCACTTAAATTGATAATTTCAGGAAATATGTTTTAAATGTAATATTCGTCGATAGATGATGCAAGTTACTCAAGGTGTAAGTAAATATTAACTTCATTTTTCGTACTTCGCTTAACAATGTGCCTCCGTAAATACAGATAGGCTTATGGAATCTAACGGGACTATTTTTTATAGGTATGGCTTTGACCGCTCGTAATTTGGCAACTTGTAACATTTTTAAATGCTTTTCTAGCTGAAAAATTAATAAATAACTCAATAACTACAAGGTCTCTACATTAACGAGAAATAAAACGTAAAATTTGTTACGTGAAAATTTAAAACAACAAAGAGTTGCCATTTTGTTACTTTGTATATGCCAGATGTTAAATTCCAGATAAAACATATCTAAAGCTGAAATTTTGACCTATATAATATAAAAATTTTTAAATAACTGGTTTAAAAGACCTATCTCTCACCAGGAAAGCTTATCTCCCACAAATCTGTAAGACCCTTCACCCTGAAAAATGTTCCTCTCTTGTTAAATGGGTTGGCGATATGTCTAGGCGCAGTTACCCGAGTTACTTTCACTACAAAGTGCCACTTTCACAAAGGAAACTAATTCGAATTTTATGGACATGATTGAAGTATTGGTAGATGAGCGAGTGAGAAACGTATTAGTCCAGTAGGTACAGGTTCAGAGGTAGTAATTTTCTATGAATCAAGGCACGGTAATTTAATTCTTTTTAATTCAATGGACAGATTTTAAAAGAGTATTAAGTACATATGAGTTAAAGGAATGTTTTTCCTTAAACATGTGAACATAATACTGTACAATAAGCTGTAATTGTTTAGGTTCTATATTTTTCAGAAGAACATCATTTTTCTATTAATAGAATACTCTTATGATGTTCTGTTTTTCATTTCATGGTGCCGTATACGCCCAAGTAGCACAAATAAGTTTATAATAGTTTTAATAATATCTATATAACCACTCTCCCACAGGTAAAAGCTTTATGAAAAGATGTTGAGAACAGTTTTATTCAGTATTAAATATGCATTTATAAATCCAAAATAGGCGCAGTTTATAAAACCATTTTATAAAAGCTGCGCATATTTATTCGACTAATTAGTGTTCTGTCTTTGCATTATTAGAGCATTTGTAAAATATACTATAAAACCTTTATACAGAAAGCATTGTCTTGTAAAACAAAGCTGATATAATTGTCTCCAAAGAAAAGGTTTATACATGTTTTATAAAAGCTATTTTTCCCAACTTGAAAGCGATGAATGTTGTATTAATGTTTCCAATATACAGTGCACCAAAACTTTTTAGCATTATAATTATGCGTTTCTATTATTTTCTAAATAATAAAACTGAAAGCTTTGGGCTATTTATTGCTGATTGTCGGCCATATAAGATAGGTAAGGTACTCAAGAGTAAATGTTTACCGATATACAGAATAAAATTAAATATGTATCTAGAAAATAAAAAACTACTTGCAACGAAAATTTTATTGATGAAATATATCATGATACCTTAAAAAAAACTAAACGCCTTTAAAATTAAGCAGATTTAGCAATCATCTGTAATAATTTTTGAAAAATGATGTCACAATTTCCGATTAAAAAAAAATAAAGAATATGAATACATAACAAATTATTAAAAATAATTCAATAGACACGCATTAAACTAATTATTTCATGATACATATATTATAAACTTGAATTTCTTTTTGACGTAATTCTGGTGTACAATATGGCTGACATCTTGTCCTAAGCATGTTTGAAAAATATGCCAGGAGGATACTTCTACCACAGCAACTATAAATCTGTTATAAAATAATTAAGATTTTAAATATTTTATATAGTATTTTGTAAATTTGCTGTCTACTGTCAATTTAAAAATTCTGCGTAAACTGCTTCCTGCTACAATTCCAATGGCGTCAGCAGAACAGATAATAAAGTAGCATGCAAGTATGATGGGTAGACATTAGTAGACATTGTAAGTGCTACTTGTATTTTAAAATGTTCTGAAATAAGCTCTGAAGATTTTGAATGATAAAATACTTTTAACTAATAGCACTGCTAGTAGAGTTTAGAAAAGACAAATATACGGAGTACTGTCACAAAGTCACAAGTTTGATAATCATATGGGCAAATCAGCCGCTTATTGGTCACAAACAACGAATATATTCTAGAAGAGACGTGATATGTCTACAGATGAAATCATTATCAGTTAGTGTTAATTGTAATTAATAATTAATGAAATTATAATCAGTAAGCAGTATTACAGTACTTTTACTGTTATTGATTGCAGCACAAAATAATTTTGCAGTAACTGTAAAAGCAACGTATCTATAAACAAAATCTTTCATAGATTTTAATGAAATTTGGCAGGTTTGTTTGAAATAATAAAGGGCTTATTTGAACGTAATAATATGATTAAAATTAATAATTCCAGTATCTTCCTGAAGGGTAACTAATAATATCCTAGGACATAACGCATAGTAGGTATTTAAATTTTAGATAGCAACATGCAGTTTTATCGTCATAATGGTTGTGATAGAGTATTAACACTAAAACTTTCTTATTCACAGATTTTTTTAGGTTAGGGACTATCATTTTTAAAACTTGTTATATATTATTTAACTTAAAAAGCTAAAATTATTTATAATTTAGTAATATAGTCTATTTAAATGATAATGTTATATAACATTAATAGTGCAATCAATATACTGTATTAAAGCTTTAAAAATTGACCGGTAAGTGTTTATAAGATTATAAAAAAACAAGGAAGCAGCTATTACACTTTAAACTTTTATAGATGTTTCATTTACCACGTTTATAAGACTCTAACAAAGCCTTTATAAAATTGTATAATTTTATTATTAGAATATTCTAACAGCTTTTTATATACCAAAATTGCTATAGGAGCAAATTAACACTTTATTAAGGCATTAAAATTATAAAAAGATATATTTGTTGCTATTAAAAAAAACAACAATTATATAACTTTAAGCGATGTAATAGTAGCATTTGTGTTAGTTGGGCGTGCACCACAAAATCCTATTTTGCATTTTTTTTATCTGTGCATATAAATAATCAAAATATATTTTTTCTTCAAATTTGGTATACAAATTTGAGGGATGTAAAATAATCTTACGCTATTATTTTCTCAATAAAAGAATACCTAACGTGTTTTTGAATGATAAATTCATAAAATAGTCCTGCTCCATTCCACTAGCGTATCTATAATTATTAAGACGTGAAAAACCTGGTTTCCACTAATTAAAAACTTACCATGCACTTCCGTAATCTTAGCTGGAAATCATTGATTACTTTGTTGTTCTTGGGCTAGATTCGGTGGGGGCGGGTCAGCTATACCTTTAGGCCCGCCCTGATCATTTCATTTCTTTTTGTTGGAGTCTAGAGGTTCTGATAGCGGATCCGTCCTCACAGAGACTAGCCCGAGTACAACGAGGGCATGTTAAATATTCCTAGCTAAGGCTTCGGAATTGCAAGCAACCACTGTCTTTTTAATTAATTCACATCCTATAGATTGAATAGAAATAACATAGCTCCACAAAAAAGAAAGTGGCAGGTCCGAAAGACAAGACAAGGTATCCATATGATTTTGGGGTCGCTGAATCCGAATCCGGTGTCCGTTTGACACGATTGACTCTGGTTTAAGGTCAGTTCAAGGCAAATGTAGGAAATCAATTGTCAATAAACTAAACCTATGTATCTATACGTTTTTGGGGTCGCCGAATCCTAATCCGGTGTCAGTTTGACGCGATCAGATCTGGTTTAAGTTCAGTTCAATGTGAAGCCATTTATGTTGTTCGTATTTGATCCTATGTAAGACTATCCTCAAATTACGGCACTCTTGTTTAAATGTGCGTTAGGTTTAAAACATCCATGTTTGAAGTGATTCATCCAACAATATCATTGTAGTAACCTAAGGAAAATTCTTCATCGTTAGAAAAATATTCCTTATTTCTGTACTGATAGTAAAAATCTTTCACTTTTCCGGCTTGCTTAGTATTTTTTTAGCCGTGATATTAGGAACTCTGCTCCATTCTCTGCCAGGCCCAAATCTCGAATATCATTTACTTTTTTTTTGTGATATTGTTCCTGTCTTTTTCAGAACGCGATATGGAATATATTCGTCATCACTAGTTACACTAGCAATATCAGTGATAGTTTCATTGCCACCCAAATTTCTTCCTTCTTTAATATCTTGGTGAAATCTTTCTTTCTGCTCAAACCCAATCAAATTTTTCACTTATGCTTAAAACCAAAATATTTGTATAAGTATCTTTCGTATTTTGATTGATCTTTTTCTATTAGAAAGTATTTAATAGACCTGATCGCTTTAATCGGACCTCAGATTCGAATTCAACGACCCCCAAAACGTATAGATATGTAAGTTTACTTTGTTTTCAATTGATTCTCCACATTTGACCTTGAACTGACCTCAACCCAGATCTGATTGAGTCAAACGGACATCAGATTCAGATTCGGCGACTCCAAAAACGTATACATACGTAGGTTTGGTTTGTTGACTATTGATTTTCTACATTTGACCTTGAACTGACCTTAAACCAGAGTTAATCGTGTCAAATCCGGCTTCGGATTCAACGACCCCAAAACCATATGGATATACCATGGTCTTGTCTTTCGAATCTGCCACTTTTTTTTTGTGGGTCTGTGTAATACTAACTTGGTTAAGGCACATTATCTCAACTACCTTGCTTTAATATTTCAGTAAGCTATGCAAGCAAAACGTCCTTCTCAATGAAACATCCTGTGTGTAGGAAAAATATTGTAAACATCTTTAAATTAGTTTATTTTTACATTTATTACGTTGTTTAGCGAATGTACTGTTATAAATTATTTTATAGGTTTATTAGGACACTATCAGACAACCGCATCGAAATGGATAAATTGTATGAAGCCATCATCAGAAAGTACAAATGCTGCATATGCGGCTATCTCTTGTCCAAACCACCTATTATGACTTCATTATTGGAAATAGATGAAGCTCTCCATAAATGCGGCAGGTGTAAACTAACTAATTTGGACGAACACCGCTGGAACCGAAACCATCTTTTTGAGGAAGTGGCCCAGTTCTTATATTTTCCTTGTTCTTACACTACTTGCAAAAAGAAGATACCATGGGATGAAGTAGAAGAACACGAAAAAAATTGCCTCCACAAGACCATAAAGTGTCCATTGTCGAAATATTGCGAATGTTTTGAGTTGATTCCTGTGGATCAGATTGGAGAACATTTCAAAGATAAACATGACGAGAATATTATAACAGCTGATATGATGGCGTATGGTTGGGAAGCTTATAGCAAATGTAATTATATATTTTTAATACAAATAGAAAATGAGCACTTTTTCGTCTACATTCAACAAGGGACTAGGATAGCTGTGCTGGCAACAAGAAGTACTAAATACGTCAAATTCAATGTAAAGCTGAAAATCAGTTCTAAGAATAATTTCACTGTCTCTTTCTATGATCTGCCAGTGGTTCTTTACGACCACGATATTATGTGCACGGATGTCCTTTTGAATAATAATGAGAAAGGGGAAGCGAATTTTAATAATTTCACGAACAATCTTGCGAATGAATTATTGGGTAACGCAGACAGCTTTTGTGGAAAGTTAAGGTATAATTCTAAGATGTAAAGTAGAAGAATGGTAGATCTACAGATTTCTATTATTTTTTTATCATACATCCTTTTGACTTCCTAAACACGAATCTAAAGTTGTTACGTTAAGCCTTTTCAATGCTATTTTCTGAAAAATCACAAATTTTAGGGATACGAGCAGATATATCTTTTGTGAAAGACTTCTATTCTAATCCTAATCTATACAATCTAATCCAACTTAGATTAACCTAACCTATCCTTATCTAATGTAATATTTGGTAAATTTTCCTACATTTTTAATTAGGTGAAGTTTTAATTATCGAAATTTTAATCTATTTTTAATCCTATGCTTGAAAACGATTTTGATTCGTTTACAGAATCTTAAAAAGTTTAACTTGTTTTCTAATAAATTTTTCGAATATGCTTTCGGGTCCTAACCGTAACAGACTTTTTATTAGTAATATCCACCTAATAAAAAATACATAAATGGTTAATTTATGTAAACTTTCCAAAACAACCTCAATATTCCGACTTTTTCGAAAGATTCATACGGATACAAATCTAAAAATACGATATGATAAATTATTTACTATTATACTATTTTTAGTATGTATTTTAGTTTAATTCCCATTTTATATCAAACTTCTTCAAATCTCGTCATCGGCAAAGATTTATTGATCAGCAATATTAATGTGCTTCGAATAAATATTGTCACTCATATTTTTGTCGAAAAAAATGTTATATACACCGTACGCGCCTAAAGTTTGAAATAAATTCAGTAAAAACGAAACAATTTTGTTTGGGGAAAAATCCTCGAACTGTTAAATAATAATAATCGTATGAAAAGTTTAGTTACTCTTGGAAAACTAAAAAGTCTGACAGATTATTATTATGATGTTTGTTTTCCTGTTGTAGTAACAAAAAAGTTGTTAATAAAGTATAAACGTATTCGTTTAAGGAAATCATTTTACTTTAATATAAATACAAAAAACAGGTCGATTTTTGATTTAAAAATTACATATTTCATTTGTTTTCGAATAATGACTTCATCAACATTTTTTTTAAATAGCAACCCCTATTTTTTTCTTGATTCTGAAAGATTGTTTCATTGTCGATCCGATAGTATTAAAATGTTGCCATCTTACATAGGAAAGTTTTCGAGTAAATGACGATTGAATGTTAGAAAACGTAAATTTTATTCATTAAAAAAATAACAATTCCTATGTCAAGCAAATACAATTCATTAAGTTTTCTACCTAAATTAAGTGTTCGAATTGCTACCCACCGACTTTTTGACAATACGCAAGTCTGTGTAGAAATTCTTTTTGCACATTATGAATTATTTCTGGGGTAACTCTGTGTATTTCGTCTATAGCGGTCGATAGCCGCACGGTTTAAGGCGCCAGTACTTAAAAAAATGTGTTGTTTCTGCCCGGGTTTCGAATCCCGCGGCCGGTAGACCGTAGATTAGCTATGCTTGTACGGAGGATTGGCACCCTCTGTGCAGGTATGGTAGGGTGGAAGAATGTTGGCTTGGGTCAATGTGAGGTGACATCGGTTGGCATTTGACCACCCCCCTAATTAATGAGGTTTTCCAGGTTTCCCTCATGTCTGCACTGAATGGTGGTTAGGGCCTACCAACATAAGTCGTTCCTGGGTGCAAATGCGGCCTGCTTAATAATAATATGCCGCCTCCTCTCCCGCACAAGTCTCCGACTTCGGGGCTAATTCTTGCAGTTAGAATGAGGAGTAGAGATATTATTATTATTATACAATTTTGGAGTTCTTCTAAATTATGTGGTCTATTAATGTACACTTTAGACTTTAAGTAGCCCCATAAGAAATAGTCCAGGGTTGTAAAATCTGGGGATCTCGCGGGCCATTCTATCGGTCCTCGTCTGCCGATCCACCTCCTAGGAAAACAATTGTCCAGAAAATCTCAAACAAGGCGCGCATAGTGCGAAGGTGCACCGTCTTGTTGAAACCATGTGGTGTCATCAGGAATGTCAGGGTCATTATTGTTAGGAAAAATTACTGCAAGCGTTGGAACAAGGTCATTTTATAAAAACTCTAAATAGGTATCTTTCTCCTGTAAGGGTTCCTTCAAAGAAAAAAAGCCCTACTATTCTGTTGTCAACTATTCCAGCCCACACATTTAATTTCTGTGGGTGTTGGGTATGTGTCTCTGCCATCCAATGAGGATTTTTCCGACTCCAATACCTGCAAGTTTGACGGTTCACTGTAGCATTGAGACAAAATGTGGCCTCGTCTGAAAAAAGTGTTTGCCGGTGTAAATCTCTATTTACTTGACATAAATCCATCATAATTTCACAAAAGTGTAAGCGGCGGTCGGGATCGTCTTCATTGAGTTCCTGCACAAGTTGAATTTTGTAGGGATGATATTTTTCCTGCCTCAGGATACGTAGTAGCACTGTGGTCTGACTAATTTCATTGTTCAATGTTCTGTTTGTGATCTTCACGAACGCTTGGACGTCCAGGTTTTGGAATATTTACAACATTGACAGTTTCTCTAAATTTAGATTCTATCTTACTGACTGTTGCGGTTGATACGGCGATCTGGATGTTTTTCATTAAATAAATCGCAAACTTCCTGCTGCGTTCTAGTCTTATCCCCGCATCATATAAGAATTAAAATTTCAATTCTTTGTGCGACAGTTAAATGTGCCATAATACTTTAAATTCAACAATAATTTTTATATCGCTTACAATACTTAGATAGGGTATGACAGTGACACTTTGTAAAGATTTACACCTACGTAATCCATAAAAAATTTCAGGCATTTCGAAAAACTAAATTTGATAACGTTTTTGCTTTATTTTAATTGATATGGGTTTTCTAACATTCAATCGTCATTTACTCGAAAATTTTCCTATGTAAGATTGCAACATTTTAATACTGTCGGATCGACAATGAAACGATCTTTCAGAATCAATAAAAACAATAGGGGGTTGCTATTTAAAAAAAATGTCGATGACGTCATTACTCGAAAACAAATAATGGTTGAAAATCACTTTTTATGCTAAAATATGCATTTATTAAATTAAAAATCAAGCTGTTCGAAAATTTTTCCCAGAAAAATTTGTTTCATTTTTACTGCATTTATTCCATACTTTAGGCGCGTACGGTATATACAAGGTATTAACGAAATAAGTACTAAAAATTGGAGAGTATGTAAAACATGTCGAAATATGATGAAAACCTCAGTAGAGTTTTTGTCAGTGGTGACCCCTAAATGATATACAGCCCCTTGAATGGGTAACTCAGGAAACAGTTTTTAATTTCATAACTTCAAAACGGTTTAATATTAAATCACGAAATTTTGAGGTTGTATTACTATTTATATGCTTAATAATCGGTATACTTCCTCGAAAAAATGAAAATTTATCATATTTTGCATAAAAAAGGTACTCTTGTTAGATTTCAATAATTCATTACTTGCCCAAACATTTCTACTGTAAAATAAATGTTCCAATTGTGCCATGAGAAAATTACTATTTTTATATTTAATTTTCCTTATGTACTATTATTATCGTTGTTGTAGTTGTTATGTAACTGTTACTAAATCAGGGTTCAATATCACAGTTAAGTAGATAGTTTTGTAGTAAACAGTAACATAAATAATTTTGAATAATAAAATATTATTAAGTACTATTATTATTTTTATTTGAAAATCGAAAAATACCAAAAAAAAGACCCATGACGTAAAATTTTTATTGTAAATGTAGTTTCACCGTTGAAGATAATATTGCTTTATTGGCTAATTCAGATTCGGCGGAAACCGCGCGGAGTTTATTTTACCGTTTTCGAATTCGTTCACACCTGCCCGCCGTGGATAGTTGATCCGCGCGGATTCCTCTGTATCTAAACTAGTAGCCTTATAATAATTCTTAGATTGGAATATTGAGTGGATAATGTAGTCAATTTGCTAAATTTATTTTCAGCAGGAATTTTTCAGCACGTAGGTAATAAATTATTGAAATGGATTTTACTAGAAAACGGCTCATGCTATTAAGATCTAATAAGAGTACCTTTTTTATGCAAAATATGATAAATTTTCATAATTTCGGTTCAGGAAGTAGAAAAAATTGCGTACAAAAAAAATGTAAAATTTGCCCCATAGTCCCGCATTTTCTTAGGCCCCTGTAGCAAATTTTGGTTTGTATATTATGCCGATTATTAAGCATTTAAATAGTAATACAACCCTAAAATTTCGTGATTTAATATTAAACCGTTTTGAAGTTATGAAATTAAAAACTGTTTCCTGAGTTACTCCTTCAAGGGGCTCTATCTCCCTTAGTGGCTGCCACTGACAAAAACTCTACATTTTTTTCATCATATTTCGACATGTTTTACATACTCTCCAAATTTAAGTACTTATTTCGTTAACACCTTGTATAATATCAATATTTTGTTCTATTGTGAAACGCTGGGTTGTTCATTAGAATCCATGTTGGTTTCATAATTTTATCATCTTGGTTTAATACATAGTCTAGCTTTGTATCGGCATATTGTTTCATCTGATTTTCTTTTTACGGAAATACTTACTTATTATTAGTGAAGGGTTTCCTTTCTTATCCTTTCGGGATAAAGGTACATCCCAGGTCTTGTTGTTTTCTAATGAATTTATTCTTTCTAATTGTTTCCTTCCACTTTACATCAATATACTGGAACACTTTATTTAAGGGATGTCATATATAACTAAGTTCCTAATCTTAATATAACGTTGATAACTTCAAATTTCTGCTGCTAGGAAATATCAATATCAACAGAATTGTTTTAGGTTCACGCATAAACCTCGACTTTTCTCATTACAGATAAAATTTTTTACAGGAACAAATAATCTACATTTTGTTGAATTATTATCGTATCCTACAAAATATTTTTTTGCTTTTGGCTTGGAATTTGGTCCGTCACTGATTAGGAACATGAGCATACGCATCAGAATAAAAAATACTGTCTTTGTTTTAGTAATATTAAGCTAATAACAAATAAACTATAAATGTCAACCTATCAGTAGTTAATGTAAACTTTCCAAAACAACAATTGCCACAAAACAATTTCAGAATTAAATTTGTGAAGATAGATTTTGTTTAAGAAAAATATGGGTATCTGAAGTTGCACCATTCTACATATAATCAAGTCTGTACCCAAAATTAGTAATAACATATTAATTATAGGTATTATATTAGACTTATCCCTGACGAAATTGTTACTGAGGATGCAGACCAACTTACAGAAGAAGAAGATGAAAGAGAAAAAAACAAAATTTTGAATTTCAGGTAAGGAGAGTTTATTGTTACTAAATTCAAATAATTTCTAAAATATTTGTCTAACCTCATTCCAAAATTTGATACCACTATAACTGAGGGGTTATTATTTGTTAGTCGTTATGGATAGTACCGTAAAGCCCTTAATTTTTGAAAGGGGAGCATATAGATTACACAGCCACACAAAAAAAGAAAAGTATTCTGTACTTTTCTTGCGACATATGTTATCAGTAGTATTTTTGCCTCCTGATCACGAATCCGGTGTCAGAATTGAGTTATCACATCACAGGAATTTCTAACCTCAAAAAACAGGTCAAAAATAGCAAAAATTTACAAAAAACTAGAAAACATTTTTTTTTCTATATTTCATTTATATAGTTAAGCTAACCTAATAAAAAAACGGGTCAATTAAGGTCACAATCATGAATTTTCCAAAAATAACATATTCGCGCCAAATTTGGTATACAGGGGTTTTCAGAGCCACTGATCACGGATCCGAGGTCAATTTTGCAAAATTCAAGATGGTGGATCCAAGATGGCCGACCAAATTTTCAAAAAATAACAGATTCGCATCAAATTTGGTATAAGGGGGTTTTCGGGGTCGCTGATCACAAATTCGAGGTCATCTTTGCAAAATTCAAGATGGCGGCCGACCAAATTTTCAAAAAATAACACATTCGCGCCAAATTTGGTATACGGGGGTTTTCGAGGTTACTGATCACGAATCCGAGCTCAGATTTACAAAATTCAACCCGTGAATAGATCTTTTACAGAAAAAAGAACAATATATAGAAGAAAAAAGTAGATTAACACATGATTGGGTACCCAGGTTATAAAGTAAAATATTACAAAATGAATTTCGTAATTCTGACCTCGAATACGTTATCAGCGACCCCGAAAACCCCCGTATACCAAATTTGCTGCGATTTCGTAATTTTTCAAAATTTGGTCGGCCTTATTGGATCCATCTTGAATTTTGCACAATTGACCTCGGATCCGTGATCGGCGACCCAGAAAACCCCCATATGCCAAATTTGGCGCGAATCTGTTATTGTTTGAAAATTCGTGATATCTGACTTTAATTGACCCGTTTTTTTGAGGTTAGAAAAAGAACTGCAGACCTCGAATTCACGTTGGGAGTCTTAATAATAACTATATAAATGAACATTTAAATATAGAAAAAAAATTTTTTATATTTTTTCTAGCACTTTTTCATGAATTTTTGCTATTTTTTGCCTGTTTTTTTGAGGTTCGGAAATTCCTGTGATGTGATAGCTCAATTCTGACACCGGATTCGTGATCAGGAGGCAAAAATACTATAGATAACATATATCGCCTGAAAAGTACAGACTACTTTTCTTTTCTTATGTGTTATCTAAACTTTAATTACGATACGCATGATGTTAGAAATGTTGTAGAATCAGAAAATGAAATTAGAGAACTTACTATTCTTTCAGTCCCGCAGCGCTGAATCCACAGATTGGTTGTGCGGGTTGTTCACTTTCAAGGGGTCATTTAATTTAAAGACAACAAGCAAACATCAACAAAAGGAAGGTATTCAATAATAATAATAAATGTAATTAAAGTAAATAAAACAATTATTGGATGAATGAAGATTCAAGGAGTCGCGTATACGAGTATATGGCAGAATTTGAAAGCAAAACTATTGCCAATTAACAAATGAACCCGAGACTTTAAAATTAAAAACGGACTGTCTGAAAGCCCTAAGAGAACTGAATTTTTAGATTTCATTATGGATTCCGACACCTTCATTGCGACCTCATCCGTTTTGGATATAGAGGTTTAGTTCTACTGTATTAGCAAATTCTGGCCTTGAATGACCGTCTATATCTTAGGTACGTTACCTAATTTTTATTTGCTGTCGTGCCGTTTTAACACTTTCCTAAATCTAGAGGACGCCCTAAAGTAACTTTTAAACTTAATATGAATCATTACACAAAAAATGAATTTACTACCTATAATCTTATGCCTAATCCAACTTCAAATTGAGCTTCATAGAGGAAGGAACACTTCCAATAAAACTTCTTTGTACTATCGACTCTACAACGTCATGCACCTCAAAATTTTCGCATTATGTATTTTTATTTGATTAGATTTTGCACCTTTCAATGTTTTTGAAGACAAATTTATATTTTTTCAGAGTTCATTGTTCCGATGATGATTCGACCTATAACAAATTGTATGAAGTTATCAAAAAGTACAAATGCTGCGTATGCGGCCTCCTCTTATCTGTCCCACCTATCATGGTATCCAATCTGGGCAAGGATAATCAAGTATATAAATGCGGTAGATGCGAAGGCATCAGTTTGGAGACATACCGTTGGATTCGGAATGATCTTTTTGAAAAAGTGGCTTGGTTTTTACATTTTCCTTGTTCCTACTTTCCGTGCATGGAGAGGATACCGTGGGGTAGAGTACAAGAACATGAAATAAATTGTCAGTTTAAAACAATAAAGTGCCCCTTATCCAATGAATGTAAATCTTTCGAGGAGATTCCAGTACATCAGATTGGAAAACACGTTACTAATATACATAATAGAACCATTGAAACAAACGATACGATGGTAAATGGTTTAGCGTTGAATCCTCGAGATGACTATTTATTTTTGTTACAAATAAAACATCAGTATTTCTTTCTCTACATTCTCAAAGGAAATCGGATAGCTCTGCTGGCTACCAGACTGGGAAAATACACCAGATTCAATGTAAAATTGAAACTCCAGCCAGAAGATAACTTTGCGGTGTCTTTTAATGATCTGCCAGTGGTTCTTTATGACGTCAAATATCACTGTACATCATGTATTTATGATACATGCAGCGAGACTCACTATACTTACTTGAAGACCAGAAAGAGACAAACGGATATCCGTACCTTCACTAACGATCTTAACAATGAAGTTACCAGGAATTTATTTTGTAATAATGGAATTTTGAGGTATTTTATGGGAACTTGTCCCCGTTGAGATCTATATCGGTATAAAATACAAGTTTGGTATGACACTGTAAATAACGTTGTCTGTTTCACTTGAAGGTTGCTTTCGCTGTACAGCAAAAATAAAACGCTCTCTAACGGTACAAATAAAGTATTTTATTTGAAAACAAAACTTGTGAAAAAAGACGTCTTGTCGGTTCGAGTGTTTGCTGGAGAGTCCCCGTGTGTGGAGTCGGTCGTAGGTATATGAGTAAGCATCTGGTCGCCGGCGGCAGTCCGCCGTAGACCCTTCCTGGAACGCTGGTTCGTCCGGCGGCGTCCTGCTGGCGCTCTTGACGTAATGCATAAATATGGGTTACTTACGGCATGTGTACCCACACACTGTACATAACAGTGAAACATACATAAATACAGGGTGGTGGCCGAGGTATCCGAGATACTTAGCATATGACTAATTTTAAGCAAAAATGGTTTTATTCACTTTTTCCGAATTCCCAATGGTTCTTGAAATATCAGGGTTTGAAGTTGCCAGGTAGTTGCTAAAGAGTAAATTACATTGTTGCAACTAGAGGGCTTAGAAAATAATGTGGTTTATTTTAATAAAAGCATAATGACGGTGTAATTATTAAAGCTGCTCAATGTGATCACCGCCTTGTGCAATGCAACATAATCCTCTGTCGAAGCTCTCGTTCCAAGTTGTAGTTTTCTATATTGTTTTTCACTTCATCAAACGCCGTATGAATCTTCTCAATGAGTTGGTCCCTGTAATTAGACTTTCCCATTGAATAGAAAAGTGTTTTCATATGTCCCCACGTAAAGATGTCGAACGGGTTAAGATCCGGAGATCGCAATGGCCAAGCAATTGGATCATCGCGTGCTATCCATCGATTTGAATAATTTTTGGTCAAGTATTTTAGTTATTTGCCTTACACTGACACGTATATACGTATATCGAGACAAATACCGATAAGGATCTCAACGCGAATAGGGCCTTTTAGAAAGAAACATGAAATAATCTTTTTACTACTTACATCGCGGAACTAATTGAATTATATGAACATTTTTACAGGTATTATATCACACTTATCGCTGATGATAAGATAGAAGAACACGAAAAAGAAGATGAGAAAATTCCACCACAGATCAACGTAGAAACTGTAAGAAGAGCTCTCAATTGTCCATACTGCATGAAATACATGACACCTCCGATTTTCACGTGTGCTACTGGTCATACCATCTGCAATGAGTGTAGACCACGGCTGAAGGAGTGCCCTACGTGTAAGGCCTACTTCAGACAATCAAGGAATTACGCCTTAGAAGATATGTCTAACGAATTGGAACTGCCTTGCCAATTCAACATGGACGGATGCACATTCGTGGGCAGTGTCTCTCAAATGTATAATCATGAACTGAAATGCTCGTACAACGATTTTCAAGAAAAAATATTTCATTAAGTAATAGAATTTACTGTTCATAATAATTTAATTTTGCGTATAATGTTAGGCAGGCAGTTATAACACGTAAACTTTGTTTATACAATATTAGTGGATAAATAGAGATAATGTTTATGATGTCTGTTTTTATTTATTTCTGTAATTTTTTGTTACTTTTTTACTTAATTGGGCGTTTTTGACATACTGAAAGGAAAAAAGAAATTTTAAATACATAAACCTTCATACCAATAGCGCCAGTGGTTTTAAGGCTTTCAGAGCACGTCTTGATATTTAAAGTACAATAGTACAAGTACAAAGTCTACGTTCTGTTCGCTAGTTACAGACTTACATTATCTGCTCTAATTGTTCTTGGGCCAGGCTCTGTAGGGGCGGACGCGTTTGTTTTGTTTTTGGAAAATAAAAACGGACGATTTTCGAAATGTTAACTTTCAAACATTATAATGTAATCGTAAATAATCTACTTCTTTCATACTTCCCCGTATACTTTTAAGTCTAAATTGTATCTAACTATAATTGACCCCCGATTTCTTTATTATTCAATTGTTAATGTTTCTATTTTAAAAAGAATATTCATAAATGATTACAAGCCACGTGACTAATTTTGTCTGGAACAGTAATTTTATTTCCTTCACGTTGGCCAATAAATTTTGGTAAATAGAATAAGAACCTGTAAATCTTAAAGCACAGGACCGTATGCACCTCTCCTGAAATTTCTTCCTATGCTTTGACCATGATGTGTCTCGTAATTTATACTCGAATAGCAATTCAGCGAGTCCGGTATTGGTAAACTAGTCCGCCTGATGTAAATTTGACGGCGGCGCGCTGATCATCAAAACAAACCTGTATTGGTCCATTAGGTCGTAAATAATTTTTTTGTATGGTACACGGTTTCACTCAGCTTTACCACTTTGCCATTGCAGTGCAGAGCATTGCTTGGAGGGGTATGTTGTTGGTATAATACGTATTATTATTTATTAGTTGATATTATTATTTATTCATATCGTAACCAGTAAAGGGCAATAGTTATTAAAATAAATGTGATATGTAATTATCTAGTAATTTTGCGTGGCTTTCTGGAGACTCTTTGAAGCGGAGGATAACGAAATAACTCTGGAAAATCCTCAAATAGTGGAACCGGTTTTTGTCGAAAACTTCGAAACAAAGTCAGAGTTTAAAAACAAAGAATTACACGTACAAAGTCAACGTATCATATTAAATATATGAATGTTTGAAAATTAAAAATAGTAAACAATGTGATAAAAAAGTTAGGAAACGGATTAACGAATTAACAAAGATATTAGGGGAGACTGTTGTACCTAGAGTATAGTGTATCTTGAAACGATTCCTATTTATGACAGATGTCGCCACCTATCAGCGCAAAACTAAGGTATAATCCCCTCGGGCTTGACCTTCAGTAGTGCATCCATGTTTCAAGCGTCACAGACGTATTTTGAAATTGTGCAATAAAAATAAGTTTTTTCGCCATAAAAAGTAAAAAATTAGCATCATATTCGTGTGAAGATAATTTGAGAAGTGGTAGCTTTGAAGGAGTAAATAATTTTTGCGTGTAATAGTGTTTAATGGTGAGTGGAAATACAATGTTATTGTTCTTTGTAAACGTAGCTTTGCCGCGGAAACAGCCATCTTTGGTTATGTTGCACCTTCTTGTACCTTGAAACATCGGCATATCTTGTACCTTGGAACATTCATTCACATAATGACATTCATTATATATTTTTTTTCAGAATTTTTTTCTTTATGCCGCGTAGTAAAGAAAATAAAAAGAGGGATCCAGTCAATCCAGATTCTCTAAAAAAGGCTCTAGAAGCTGTTAACTCTACTGATCCAGATAAGAAAATTTCCTATAGGGATGCAATTAAAATTTATCATGTTAGCCTTGCAACACTTTCACGTGAATCTAAAAAGTATAAAGAAGTTGGAGGTGATATGAATACACTGCGAATTACGCCGTCAAGCAAGTCTTTTCAAATTAAGAGGGAAAAGTCTCGTGGAATATATTCTGAAAGTGGCGAAAATGCAATATGGTTTGACAAAAAAAGGTGTGTGAGTTTTAGCTTATAAATTTGCTGCGGCCAATAAAAAGAAATATCCACCAGGTTGGGACAAGGATAAAATTGCAGGGGAAGAATGGATGCGGGGCTTTATGAAAAGGCATCGAAAAAAATTGTTAGTTAAGAAACCGGAAGCTACTAGTTTGAGTCGATCCACAAGTTTTAATAGAACAAACGTAAATAATTTTTTTGACAACCTACAAAGTGTTCATACTCGTTTTGGACCAATCCCTCCACAGAAAATATGGAATCTTGATGAAACTGGGCTTAGCACGGTGCAACCGCAATCCAAAATAATAGCCCCTAAAGGAATAAAGCAGCTAGGAAGTGCGACTTCGGCTGAAAGAGGATCACTAGTTACTATGATAGCCGCTGTAAATGCCATTGGAAACTACATTCCGCCAATGTTAATATTTCCTAGGGTCTTTTTTTAAAGATAGGATGAAATATGGTGCACCCCCTAGAACTGTTGGGTGTGCAAATCCCTCAGGATGATCGAACGAGAAAATATTTTTAAAATTCTTAGATCATTTCATAGAAAATGTATAATGTTCTAGAGATGAGAGGGTGCTGTTAGTATTGGACAATCATGAGACCCATCTGTCAGTAGAGGCACTAGAAAAAGCTTCAACTGCTGGTATTGTAATGTTTACATTCCCACTTTACATTCCCACCCCATACATTTAATAAATTACAGCCCCTAGATTTAACCCTGTACGGCCCTTTAAAAACATTTTATAGCCAAGGTGTCGAGGCATGGATGGTCAATAATGCAGGCAAAACTTTTGATATTTATTCAATTGCAGAGATTTTGGGAAATGCTTTTCCAACGGCTTTTACTCCAAGTAATATTATGAGTGGCTTCCGATGCTCGGGAATTTTCCTCTTAGATAGAGCAATTTTTTCGGAAGAAGATTTTCTAGGGGCTTATGTCACAGACCGCGAACCACTCAATGAAGTTATTACAATACCTAATACTAAGGATAAATCAACAGAACCTCAACCTAGTTCATCAGCAGCGTTCGATACTCCCAGTTCTCCCTCCAACTCTGCAAATATTTCAGCGCCTGTTACTCCTACAGCTAAAGATAAATTAATAGAACTACCAGAAGAACCATTAGCAGGACCTTCAGGCGTACAACTTGCAAATATTCCAGAGCCTGTTACTCCTCCCATTGAGGATAAATCGGTAGAACTACAGGAAGAACCATCAGCAGGACCTTCAGGCGTACAACATGTGTCGACACCAGCGGGTAGCAATAGGAAACAGATATCTGGAACAAGCTTTTTATCCCCTGAAGAAGTGCAACCGTTTCCTAAAGCACAAGCTAGAAAACCAAAGAAAGGCGGAAGAAAATGTGGCAAAACAATGATTGCCACAGACACTCCGGAAAAGGAAGAAATTAGGAGGCAAAAGTCAAAAAAAAGGTTCAGGCTGTAACTAAAAATTTATCTCTTGACAAAGGAAAAAAACGTGACAATCCAAAATGTCCTTTTGCAAAAAAATAAGTCTCAAAAGGAAAAGAAAGCCAAGATTTACGCATGCTTTTGAATCTTCTTCTGATGACAGTCAAGACGATATATCCCTTGCATCAACTGACGATAAAGAAATTAATGAAGATTCTTGTTGGTTTTGTGGCAACACCATAGCAGAAGATAAGGGTGGAGAAAAATGGAGCCGTTGCACTAAGTGTGGCCGTTGGGTTCATAACCTATGTGCCGATCTTGACGACGATAAGTGGGAAACATACTTGTGCGATTTTTGTTTAAAGAAGCTATAGTTTGGTTAATTATTTTTAGATCACCAAAAAGAAAAGAATCATAGCAGAAGTTGCTTATTCTCAAATGTTTTGTTCTTTTTTACAAGTGATTTTGTTAATTTATGATACCTGGTGAAATTTTTATTTTTAAATAATCTGAATGTCTATTTAGTTTATTTTTGTGTGGGGTATTATCTGTGTTTCAAGGTACATTAGGTCTGTTCCAAGGTACAAGACCACCTTGTACCTTGGAACTATTTCTAGCTAATAAAAATTATTTTGGAAAACACCTCAGCATTAATATTTGTGAAATTTCCTTTATATCTTATGAGTTAAATGTTTTTATGCGGTTCCAATTAAGACCGTAACAACTATAAACATTTATGAAGGCAGACTGTATAAAATTATAAGAAATTCTATTCTGATTATATGAACAATATTTTCCTAAAAAATGGGAGCTATAGGTACTTGTTTAGAATTATATTTTTATTATTATTTGTCTTTTTAATACAGGAAAAAATCCTGCGTCGTATTTTGAACATGTTTTGAAGAACACTTTATTAATTCCAATATTTTTCATATTAAACAGGCGTTTTCTGTCATAACTTCATATTTCCAATAAACTTAATGATATTATTTGAAATTCTATGACACCTAATACCAAACCTAAACCTAGTAAAATATAGACACGCCAATTAACTCCATGTCTCATATCAGGGAGTCCTTTGAAAAGGTGTACAAACTTTAAAGAGACATTTCTCAAGGAAAAAGATTTGTTAGAAAATGCACCCTTTCCGAGATATGCCTTAAAATAATTTATTAAATATTACAAGAACGCATAACAGCAGTTTTATTTTTGACAGTGATATTTCCATTTCGTACTATTAAAACCATAATTCTTCTAATGAATTATTAGTGAAGCAGTTTTAAGTAAACTCTTGCTTGTTATTTTTTTTTAAATAAATCTGCATATTTTAAAAGAAAAGTTCAACCGCTCTTTGTTTTACAACGAAATTACAGTCTTTGGGAAAAATTTTAATTAAAATGTTAACACAAAAAGTAACTAAATCTAGTTGGTATAAATAAAAATCATAACTAATAAACATAAAAAATATGCAAACAGATTAATATTTTTATAGCGTAAAAAACAGAAAATGTTAAAGGTTAGTTTTAAAAAATATTGAAATATATTTAGAAATAATAATTTCCAAATTAAAAATAGTCGTTTCTATTGAAATCTTTGAAAACTAAAGCTGTCCTTCCAATGCTTTTTTAAATTTAATTT